TCAAATGTCCCCTCACTCCCTTCAAATGTCCCCTCACTCCCTTCAAATGTCCCCTCACTTCCTTCAAATGTCCCCCAGTCCCCTTCAAATCTCCCCACAACACCCTCAAATGTCCCCTCACCCCCTTCAAATCTCCCCTCCAGCACCAGGGGGAACCAGGAGCCCTAATTAAAGCTGTTGGAGGTAATTACCACCCCATTCCGGCCCACTTGGGCAAACCAAGCCTTGAGGGGTTAAAGAGTCCATCTAAAGCTTGGGAAATAGGTGGAAGTGATGACACAGAACAGCTTTAAAAACCAAACAAAAACCCCAAACCCATGAGGTCGTTCAACTCCCCTCACAACCCTCAAATGTCCCCTCACCACCCTCAAATGTCCCCCCTCAGTGCCAGATTTTCTTCTTGAGGGCACCTGAGTTCCTTCCATGCCTGAGGGGTTCAAGAGTCCACCTAAAGCTTGGTAAAGAGGTGGGAGAGATGACACAGAACAGCTTTAAAACCCAAACAAAAACCCCAAACCTGTGAGCTCATTCGGCTCCAAGTGACCTCTGGGGTGGGATGAGAGACTTCCTTGTCTCTCCTACCTTGGCAGAAAAATCTCCTGCCCTGTTGGCAAGGGAGGGGCACCCTGAGTGCCACCACCCAGCTGGAATCACAGCATTTTTTGGGAAGGAATCGGCTGTCTGCCTCCTGCAGCACAGGGCAATCCCTGGGAATTTCTGGAAGCTCCACAGGGAGCTCACATCACATGGAAAAGGAATTTTTTACACCTACAGACCACTAGGACAGAGGGAATGGCTTCCCACTGCCAGAGGGCAGGGTTAGGTGGGATATTGGGAAGGAATTTTTGGCTGGGAGGGTGGTGAGGGGCTGGGATGGAATTCCCAGAGAATTCCCAGAGAAGCTGTGGCTGCCCCATCCCTGGAAGTGTCCAAGGCCAGGCTGGAGCAACCTGGGCTAGTGGAAGGTGTCCCTGCCCATGGCAGGGCGTTGGAAAACAATGACTTTTTAAGCTCTCTTCCAACCCAAACCATTCCATGATTCCACAATCCCTCTCTTTCCAGGCTCGTGGCAGCAGAAGGAATTTATGATCCCTCGTGCAGCTGGGAGAGCAACATATCCAAAGGCTTCTTTCTGAGCCAAGCCAATCAATCATAATTGCAGTTTAATCCAGACCTGGATTAAGAATATTAACTAAGTAATTTATTGGGATTTCTCATGTCCCAGCTTGCAGAGGCTTAGGATTAAGACCTGGGAAAGCCATTCTTGGAGCCTGGGACAAGCTCAGCTGAGCTCTTCCTAAGTCTTTGATTTGAATAATGACTGGACAAAAAAACATCCCTGCTAGGGCTAAAAAAGCAACTTTAGGATGAGCCAGGCTGTGTGTTATCCCCTCATTCCCGGTGGGAAACCCTGGATATGCAGCCACCTCCTTCCTGAGCCCACAGCAAGTGTCAGTTCTCCTTCACAGGGCACAAACCTGATATCCTGGAGTTGGATCCTTCCTTGGAAGCCTTTCCCCTGCTCCTCCTTAGCCAGTCCTCGAGTTTATCCCAGGGATCCAATTTCTCCCGGGTTAATTGTTTGCTTCCCTGGGATCACCGGCAGAGCTGCACTTCCAGGCACGTGGCACAGGGGGGTGTCTCTCCAATTTGGGTTTGTTTTACGTCGGGCTGAGCTTGGCTGAGGGACAAAATAAACGCAGGGAGCTCCTTAAACACATATTTTATCGATGCCAAACCACAGACACGCTCCTGTCTGCCTCTAAAACATGTTGGGAAAGGAAATTCATCAGTTCAGAGGCAGACTCTGAACCACAGCAGTGACAACTCAAATGTTTTCTCATCCCTCTCCTCTCAGACCGATAAAAAACATCCCACTTGGAAGTCTCTGGTCCATTTTTCCCTATTTTTTTTTTAATCTTTTTCATTTTTTTGTGACATCAGACCTCCCAGGAAGAAGGGAAGAGGAGAAAGAACCCTCTGGAAAGCCTTGCTCTTGTTCTCCCTCAAACCCTCACGGGGCTTTTCCCACCTCTCAGCGTCTGCCAGATCCTACTGTTTTGTTTTCCAAACCCCCCTTCCCCAGGGAGCAGATCCAGCAGGAGGAGTTTTCATCCCACCCACTCTTCTCTTGGCACCAGTTGGGATGAATCAGCCAAAAACTTGTCTCTCTGCAGCTCCTCCATGGGAAGAACCTATCCCTGAGCAGATGAAAGAGCCCAGGACTGTCCTTCCCCTGAGGAACCTTCAATTCCAGCATGGGAAGAGCAACGACCTGGAATAATCAGCCTCCCTGGGAACCCAGGCTGGAATCCTGTAGGGATGAGCCTCTACCTGAGCTCGCCAAGACCTAAAACCACCTGGAATCCCTCAAAAAACACCTCAATTCCAGCATGGGAATAGCAGGAGCCTGGGATACTCACAGGAGTGCAGCCCTCCAAGAATCCAGGCTGGAATGTGGCAGGGATGAGCTCACTGATGAAGTTCTAAGACCTAAAACCACTTGGTATCCCTCAAAAAACCCCTCAATTCCAGCATGGGAATAACAAGACCCTGGAATAATCAGCCCCTTGGGAATCCAGGCTGGAATCCTGTAGGGATGAGCCTCCACCTGAGCTCGCCAAGACCTAAAACCACCAGGTATCCCTCAAAAAACCCCTCAATTCCCAATGGAGGGATTTAAAAGACTTCGAAAAGCGGCGCTCAGGGACTTGGTGTGGTGGGGAACATGGTGGGGAACGGTTGGATTGGAGGAACTTAAAGGTGTTTTCCAAGCTAAAGAATTCCACACTTCAGACCAGCCCCTAAGGGAACGGTGTTTCCAAGGCCAGGCTATGGAAAGTGGCTCCGGGAAAGAGGAGGCACAGTTTTCATCCCTGAGGATCATGTGTTGGCCCCACAGCATTCCCAGGAGAGAGCACCATGTGGGAAGATTCCTGATGTCCACGGCTCTGTCCCGGGGATTTATGTTCCTGTGGCTCCAGGATGCTTATGGAGAAGCACCAGGGATGGACCCGCTCTGGAGCCTCCAGCTGCTCAAAGAACTTCCATGGGGAGAGACTTTGTTTGGACACCCTCAAACCATCCTTATATCGGGGCACCAGAGCTGGAGGTCTGCATCCAGCTCTGGGATCGTCAGCACAAGGATCTGGAGCTGCTGGAGCAGGTCCAGAGGAGACCACGGAGATGCTCCAAAGGCTGGAGCCCCTCTGCTCTGGAGCCAGTCTGGGAGAGCTGGGAATGTCCAGCCTGGAGAAGGGAAGGTTCCAGGGAGACCTGAGAGTCCCTTCCAGGGCCTAAAGGAGCTCCAGAAGAGCTGGAGAGGGACTTGGGACAAGGGATGGAGGGACAGAACACAAGGAATGGCTTCCCAGGGTTAAACTGGGAGTCAACAAATAACCCCCAAAATGTTGGGCTGGGAGAGGGATCCCACTCTCAGGGGTGTATGGTGAGGACACCATCCTGCTCCACAGGGGTCTGAGCAGCTCTTCTCTCACTTGATGTTCTAGAGACCTTTTTTCCTGTAGGAAATTCTAAAAAAAGCATTAATAAATCTACTGGTTGGGTGGGGACATCCCCAGTGCTCATCCCACTGCATCTCACTCCTCTTTTTCCTGCTCCTGGGACACAGGAGCACTGGTTTTGTGGGGACTTACCCGGAATTATGTCCTTATTTTAGAGAATCACAGAATGGTTTGGATTGAAAGGAACCTTAAAGCTCAGCCAGTTCCAACCCCCTGTTACAGGCAGGGACACCTTCCACTGCCCCAGGCTGCTCCAAGTCCCATCCAACCTGAACAATTCCAGGGATGGGGCAGCCACAGCTTCTCTAAGCATCCATCTGGGATGGAATAAAAACTTCCCATCTCACTTAATGACAAATATTCAGCTTAACCTCTTTGGAAAGCCAGAAAGCACCTCGAGGTGGGCAGAAAACCATCTCCCATCCACCGGGACCAAACTGGTTCCTCCTGTCTCAGAGCTCCAAACCCCAACACAGGGCTCAAGGAACATCATCAGCAGAACCACACCCTGGATGAGCTCCAAAAACCCTCCAGTCACTGATTCCCAGAAAAAAAAAACCACTCCCAGTTTTAAAGAAATGTGTTTAAAATCCCCAATTCCCAACCAAAACAGCAACAGCTTAAACACAAGAACACATGGGAAGCACCAGGAGCTTTGCACTGGAGCGACCTGAACATCAGCCCTGAGGTGCCAGAAGGCTTTTGCTGCTAATCCAACAGCTTGTTCACACCTGGGAGGCACTGGGATGTGGGAATGTTGCCAGGGACATGCTAGGATCACTTTATTTTTAGGTCTAAAACCAGCTAATTAGGTCAAAAGCAGCACGAGCGGTCAGTGCTGTCGGTCCCTGCAGCTGTTGGAATGTCATCCCAACACAGGAAGAGCTCCAGGAAGGTTGGTACCACCCCCCCCAGCACACTCAAGAGTCTAGCCCAGCATCATTTTTCCTTACTGCCTGTTTTCTAGGAAATGACCCATTCCCTAAATCCGTGCCTGGGCAGTTTAAGTTTGTGCCCCAGAGAAACTGAGACAGAGCCAACTGAAGGAATTTGGGATAAAAAAACTCCCACATTCCCAAGTGAGATGTTCTCTCCCAGACCAAGATTCACCCACTTAAGGGTGGTTAAACTACAGCTGGCTTGTGCCAAGGTGAATTTTATCCCCCTGCAACATGAACCTGCTTTTTAATCCAGGATCCTTCTCCTCCCTCCCACATTTTTTTCATTTTGTATCCTTGCAACTGCACAATTTTCTCCTCTCCTGGAAGTGAAAGGGCACAAAACCCCCCGAAATGTAGAGCCCTGAGATTTTCCCCTCCCTCTCATTTCACCCTCAACCCAAGCCCAGGTCTGACAGAGCAGCTCAAACCTGTTCTGGTGCTGTCACTGCCTCGTATTTCCCACCCAGCCAATTCAAAAAGGGCTCCAACCACATCAAGGAGACAGGATTAAACCAGAGCTTGTTTATCAGCACAGTTAAGGCTCTCATTTAATCTTCTTCACAAAGGAAAAAAAGAAAAACAAAATCCCAAGCACTTGGCAGCTCCGAGGAGGAATCAGCTCCCCCCCAAAGTCACTCAGGGCAAGGGTCACAATCAGCAAAACCCACTCGAAAAGAAACCAGAGGTTTTCTTCTGTCTACAAAAAAGGCATCAAATTCTTCTCCTGGACAACCCCTCAGCCTCCTGCAGCAGCAGGGAAAAATAAAAGAAGCTTTCCAGCAGCACCAGATGAAGGATTGAAGGTGGAAGAGGGCTCAGAACTCAAAGTCCTCGTTGGCCATGGCGATGGCCCAGGCAAACTTCTCCCTCTGGGTCTTGTTGTAGATCTTCTCGATGGGCACCCCGAACTTCTTGCACCTGGGAAGAGCACAAGACACAGGGTGTGTTTGTTACCTCCCACCTCAGGGAGATGTTCCAACACTCCCCAGGACCAATGACCACCCCTGAGCACTCCCAGGCTGGGGGGAGGCAGAGACCTGGAGATGCTGGTGGACACAAGCCAGGTGTGCCCAGGTGGCCAAGAACCCAATGGCACCTGGGTTGGATCAGAAATAACGTGACCAGCAGGAGAAGGGCAGGGATCGTCCCCCTGTGCTGGGCACTGGAGAGGCCACACCTCAAATCCTGGGGTGGGTTTTGGGCCCCTCAGGACAAGGAAGACATTGAGGGGCTGGAGCGTGTCCAGAGAAGGGAATGGAGCTGGGGAAGGGTTTGGAGAATAAATGAGGAGCAGCTGAGGGAGCTGGGGGGGCTCAGCCTGGAGAAAAGGAGGCTCAGGGGGGACCTTCTGGATCTCTGCAACTCCCTGAGAGAAAGGGGGAGCTGGGGGGGTCAGGCTCTGCTCCCAGGGAACAAGGGACAGGACGAGAGGAAATGGCCTCAAGATGCACCAGGGGAGGGTCAAGTTGGACAGCAGGAGGAATTTCTTCATGGAAAAGGTCATCAGGCATTGGAATGGGATGCCCAGGGATGTTTGGAGTCCCCATTCCTGGAGGTGTCCAAGAAAGGACTGGACGTGGCACTCAGTGCCCTGGGCTGGGGGACAAGGTGGGGATGGGTCACAGGTTGGATTGGATGATCTTGGAGGTCTTTTCCAATCTCAGTGATTCTGGGATTCTGTGATTCAGAGTCCTCCCCACTCCAGGTGCAGCATCTCCAACCCAAGTTCCTTAAGCAAATAACTCACCATTGAAGACTTGCCAAGTGACCCCCTCTCGCCCTAAATCCAGTTATTTGTATCAAGTGGAAGCCATAATTTGGGATTTACTGTCATTCCCCATCCCTGGAAGTGTCCAAGGCCAGGTTGGATGGGGCTTGGAGCAACCTGGGCTAGTGGAAGTCCTTTCCTGCAACAAGGCATTGGACAGGAGGGAATGGCTTCAAACTGAAGGAGAGTAGGTTTAGAGGGGATATTGGGAAGGAATTCTTGGCTAGGAGGATGGTGAGGGGCTGGAATGGATTTCCCAGAGAAACTGTGGCTGCCTCATTTCTGGAAGAGTCCAAGGCCAGGTTGGACAGGGCTTGGAGCAACCTGGGCTAGTGGAAGGTGTCCCTGCCCATGGCAGGGGGTTGGAACCGGGTGAGCTTTAAGGTCCCTTCCAACCCAAACCATTCCATGACTGCACATCCAAGATTTACCAAGCAATGCTAATCCTGGGATCCAGGTAATTGAGCTTGGAAGTGCCCAGAGCTATCTGCTTGTTCTCCTCCTTATCTGTGGCCTGGACATTCAGCCTGGCCAGCTGCTCCTCCAGCCTCTTCAGCAGCTTCTTCTTCTTCTCCACATTCCTGAGGGCACAGGAATTAAAAACACAGAGGAAAGGCCTAAGCTTAGAAATATTCCAGAATGGAACAATCAAAAGAATCTTGACTTAGTTCTCCAGGACTCTGACCTGGTGAGATGCTTTTTTTTTAATATAAAATAATATCATTCCCACCACCAAAGATGGGCAGACACAAAATCCAACATCCAGAGACCATCACCCTTAAAACCTTGGGATGGGTTACCCAGAGAAGCCGTGGCTGCCCCATCCCTGGAAGTGTTCCAGGCCAGGTTGGATGGTTCTTGGAGCAACCTGGTCTAGTGGAAGGAACCATCCACGTGATCTAAAACCATCTTCCAGACTTCCATGGGCCAAGAGGCACCATGGGCATTCCTGTTCTCCTGAACTGCCAGGAGGGTGTTGGACCAAACCATCCCCACCCACGGGCTCTCCGTGCAGAGAATCCCTCTGCAAGACAGGATTCCAAAGAAGAGCCACTCACGCTTCTGCTTTGGCATCTTTTGGGTCTTCCAACTCATCTTCAGCTTTTTTCAGCTCTTGCTGGGCTTCCTCCACCTGTTTCTTCTTGGCATCGATCTGGGAAGATGAAAAGAAAGTCAGACCACACTCCTGTCTTTCCTGGAGGTTTCAGCTGCCTCCCTTTTCCCCTTCCCACATCATTCCTTAATTTCTTACCAGCCCTACCCCAGTCCCAAAAACCTGCCCCTGCAGCACCTGCTGGGCTCAAGCATTTCTCTGAATCTTGCCAAGAGATTCCAGAGACACTTGGAGCTCCTAAATCCGTTCATCTTGTGCCACTGCCTGAGACCAACTGGTTTGTGACAGTCCCAGTCCCTCAGGGGAGTGTGAGCAAAAGCTGAGGACGATTAAAAGTGGTAATCTGAGGCATTTCCAGAGCAGATCCATGAAGTTTCCAGCTGGTTCTCCCGCAGTCAGACAGGAAAACCAGTTTCCCTGGTCCTGAGCCAGCTGGGCCAGAGCTGTGGCATCACAAAGGGCTTGGTTTGCAGACACCAAGTGATGAAAATAGACCAAAACCATAAAAACCCACCCAAATTCTGTGCCAAGTGAGCTTCATCCTGCATTTGATCCTGGATCTTACCCCACCCCTCTCCACCCTGGGCACTGATGGCTCTGCACTGATTAAGCTCCACTATTCCCATTTCATTCCCTGATGAGCTTCATTGACTTGATCTTCGGGCATCACCTTCTCCCCCCCTTCCCAAAAATTAAACTCAGAGGGTGAAATCAGGCCTGAGGGCTCTCAGCTTGGTCTCTCTCACCTTGGTCTGCAGGATTTCCATGGATTTGGCGAAGGTTTTGGGTACGGACCTCTGATGGTTGCACAGCACGGCCACGGCGCGGTTGGCTCGGTTGTAGGAGAGGAGCTTCCCAGCAACGTTGTCCTCAGCTGGGAATAAATGAAAGCGTCACTCAGGCTCTTTCCTGGGATTTAGGGAAGGCAGAACAACAGCAAGGCATTTGCCTTTCCCATCTTTTCTCCAGGGAGAGCGATAAGGGGTGTGGGAATTGGGGAAGGACAACCGAGCATCAATCTCTGCTGCCGAGACTCATCACTCACATGCCCCAGGAGGCAAAAATGGTGCAACCAACCAGCAAAACAAGGAAGAGGGAGACAAACAGTCCCACCCTGGCTCTAAATTAGTCAGAGTATCCCTGAGTTAACCATTTCTCACCGGACCCCTATATGGTGCAGGGTCTCTATGGAGTGCAGCCTCTTGAGGGGTTGTGGGGCCTCTATTGGGTGTGGGGCCCTTATGGGGTGCAGCCCCCTGGGGGAGTACAAGACCCCTATAGGGTGCAGGGTCCCTATGGGGTGCAGCCCCTTTTGGGGGGGGTATATGGCCTCTCCAGACCCCCTCCCCCGGCGGGGTGCAGCCCATTTTGGGGGGTTCCAGAGCCCCTCCACACCCCCCTAGTCCATGGGGGACAGTCCCTTTTAAGAGGGGGGTACAGGGTCCCTAGGGGTGCAGCCCCTTTTTCAAGGGGTCTAGGGTTGCCATGGAGTGCAGCCCCTTTTGGGGAGGTTCAGGGCCCCTTTAGCCCCCCCTCCCCCATTGGATTCACACCCTTTTGGGGGGGTTCTGGGTACCTCTAGGGTACCACAAGTGTTGCAGTCCCATAAGTTATGTCCCACCCTACAAGGTGGTGCATCATCTGCCAAGGAAGGGGGACCCCAGTGGACATTTCTGAGCCCACTGACCACATGAAGCATCTGGTGAGAGCCCAACCAGGGTATCACTCACGGTTGGTGAGGGCCTTGAGCTGCTCCTGCAGGGTGATGGAGGCGTTGTAGGTCCTGAACACCTTGGCCGTCAAACCGTCCATCAGGTGCTGGAGATGTTTGTTCAGGAAGGTCGTCTGGGGGAAAGGAGACAGGACAAAGGGTGGGGAAACCTCACAGCAGGAACTGGGGTGACAGGACAAGGGGGAATGTCTTCAAGCTGAAAAGAGTAGGTTTAGATGGGATATTGGGAAGAAATTCTGCCCTGGGAGGGTGGGGAGCTCCTGGCACAGGTTGCCCAGAGAAGCTGTGACCCCTTCTTGCCCCAAATCCAGTTATTTGTAGCGAATAGAAGACTTAGTTTGGGATTCAGTATCGTGCTCCAGCCCTGGAAGTGTTCCAGGCCAGCTTGGATGGTTCTTGGAGCAACCTGGGATAGTGGAAGGTGTCCCTGCTCATGGTTGGGGGGTTGGAACTGGGTGATCTTTAAGGTCCCTTCCAACCCAAACCATTCCATGATTCAATGAAAGAGAAGGAATAGAACAAGCAGAAGACAGGAAAATAAAGCTCTTGTTTTTCAGACCAGCTCCCGCCTAAGAAACCAAATTAAAACCATGAAATTCTGTAGTTTGTAGATCCACTTGTCAGGTCAGGCCACCATTTACCCAAAACTGGCACAAATTCCACCAAAACCCACAAAGAATCTCCCTGGAAGTCAACAATTTCTGTCCGGCCACGTCTAAGAAGACACATCTTGGCCCGTGGGGACGGGGTTTAGTGCTGAGTGTGGTTAATGCTTGGACTGGATGATCTTGGAGGGCTTTTCCAACCTCAGTGATTCTGTGATATCACCCAATATATGACCTCAGATCTGTTCAACGTGTTGGGGTCGCCCAGGGACCCCACAGCCCACCCTGGGGCTCCACATGGACCCACAGCCCATCCTGGGGCCACACAGGGAC